ATTGGATTAGAATCACTTCTGCATTACAAAGAAAATCTCACTTGTTTTTATGTTTTCATGCATGTGAGATATTGAACATTATCAAAATGAATATGAGAATGGGCGCATGATAGGAATATTGCGGAACGATCCACTGGCTAACAAACTTGGCATGGTGGAGGATGGCCTATCTTATTCACCCATCAAGGTGCTTGCTCTAAATTTGCAAAGTTGTATTGGTCGCACATATTTTGCATCTGACCTCTTGCATTTCTTCTACTTTGTTACACCATTTGCTTAGTTTAAGCATCATATATGAGTATATGCCATAACTATCCATTTTCTGTACATATTCCATGTGTCGTCACACTATGTTTTTTCAGTCAAATGTTGTTCTTTCGTGATAGATGTCCAAAAGGAAGAGGGTGAATGCAGATCCTCAAGGAGTACAAACTAGGTATTTGAAAAAGGTAGTGGTACCTGTTAAATCAGATAGATCAGCAGCCACAGAAAATACAGGCCCAACTGTACCACACTTTACCCCTACTCTAGTGGCCAAACCCCTATTAGAACTTCTGGGAGCCCAGCGTCATGTACTGTCTATGATATCAATTCAAAATTTGAACTCCTAAATTTCTGCTTGTGCCTTACCTTCTCTCTTGTATGAAAACTAATTTCAGATGAATCTCCTGGCTCAAAGGATCATACGATCTCAAAACAATAATGGGCTCTGCATTGCTCTTGTCAGTACCTCTCTCCCTTTTGCCTTGTAACGATGTACTTAATTAATTGCTATTTGATTATGTATCATCAGTCTGCACCTGAGCTTCATTATCCTCTGTTTCTTCTAATATTATTTGATCTATATTTACTCTTTGCAAAATGTAGAATAATGGCAACGCTTATAAAGAATTTTCTTTGGGGAATTTATTGAATTATCCTTCCATCAACATGGAGAAGGGCTTTGTCCAGCCCGTGTTAACATGTAATGTAAGTTCATCCTTCTCAAGCCTTCAAACTTTGTTCTAGTATAGATTTGGATAGGCATCATTGCCTCCACTGCTGTTTGCTTTGTTGTTTACATCTGATTAGATGTTTGCAACAACTACCAGTTTCAAATTGTAGTTGTAAAAACAAGTTCCTTATGCAGAACAGATCCATTTATTTGCTTATATAATTGTGAAACCTAGTACGTGTCTCCTTGTTTCTCTTTCAGAGTCGTATCTCTTACGCCGGGCAGAACTTTAGGGAAGATAGTGAGTCAAACCATCTTGAGGACAGCGAGATGACCCCAAGGTCCTGTCTTGATGAAGACAGTGAGTTGAAGCTACTCACCAGCAGGTGTGAGACAACCTCTGTGCAGTCGCTGCCTCAATCAGTTTGACTTCTTCAGTCTCAACTTAAAGCGGAAAGGCTTGCTTCAGCTCAGCTCCGACTTGAAGTCAAAGATGCAATGAAGATGTCAGAGGACTGTCGTGCGCACCATCATGCCTTAAATCTAGTGTTGATGTATCTATCGTTGACACAACTAAGGTCTACTCAGCTTCTTCAGCTGTTTGGGGGGGCGGGCGACCTGGCCAGGCCTAGTGCCTTCTGAAGTGCTCTCAGTTTTGTTCTTTTGTCGGCGCGTTTATTTGCACTGGTGGCGAACTTTGATGCCCAGTGGATGTAATATGTGTGATAGCCGCGATAGCCTAGCGTAAGTTGCTTGCTTATTTATTTCCTTGTTGTCTTGTTTATTTGTTTGCTTGTAGTCATTGCAGTTCTTTTTCCGCAGTTTGCTAGTGGCTGCAATAACCTATTTTTTAAAACTATGCCACAATAACCATGGGCTAATATTTACTATAGTGACACTGGGCCTCATACGGGCCGTAGAAACAGTGAGCCTTCTATGGGCTGTAGAAACAATGGGCCTTCTACAGGCCGTACAAACAATGGGCCTTCTACGGGTCGTATCATCAATGGGCCTTATACGGGCAGTGTGATCGATTGGCCAAACATGGGCCAATAACAGGCCGCATTATGGACGTAAATGGGCTAGAGTTGGAATCGTCCGTTCATGGGCCGACCATAACGGGCCATCGTTAATAGGCCGTATTTCATGACGCTATGAAACGGCCCAACATGTTAACGGACCACAAACGGGCCGACTGTAACCACGGGCTGAATTTAGCCCATAAGCAGAAAATGATAGTAACGGGCCGTAAGTAAACGAATGCTGGAAATGAGTCCAAGAATAAATGGGCTCTGAGAAGGCCGAAAGATAACATGGGCTAGAAACGGCCCAACGGAATAACGGGCCCTTAATGGGTATAAAGTGATACACTGTTCATTACGGGCCAGTTTCACCACGGGCCGTTAATGGGTGTAAAGTAATACACTGTTCATTATGGGCCAGTTTCGCCACGGGCCGTTAATAGGCCAAGAGTTACATAGGGCCTCATATGGGCCAAAAGACGTCATGGGCCATACATGGGCCAGAAGTGAAAATGGGCTGCAATCATATTGGGTGGCCCAGATGACGCTACTGGGCCTAATTCGGATAGGGCGTAACGGGCCTTGGGTTAGCGGGCTGTAAATGGGCTATATGCGAACATGCCGTTAACAGTCTTTACATGGGCCGGCCCGCCACCTTTTGACCAAGTCAAACGGGCCGGCCTTTTCACAGGAGTGGGCCTCTGTTGGGTTGTGCCACGTGTCGACGTATCATAGGCGCCTTTTGTCCAATGAGTGGATGACATCTGTCCCAACGGTGAGCCGACACGTGTTTCCTTCAGGCAATGATGATTTTACACATGGAAAATCCCCATTGGCCGGGGCTGTTAACGGGTTATCGGATCCAAAACCCGACCCGATAGCTTAACGGCATTCCGTTATGGTGGATGCCACGTGTCGGTCACCCTTGACGAAAGCACTTCTGTGACGCACGATTTATCGTCATGGAAGTGGACACTTCCGTGATAATAATTTTGGTAATGTCATGGAACACTTCTACGACAGCACATGTATGACTATCTTGATTTTGTCATAAATTTGTCATGGATGTACATGCGTGACAAAAAATGCGACCTACTGTGACAAACACGTATCATCACGGAAGTGTATTTTTTTGTAGTGGGATGACAAGACAGACATGTCAGGAGATTATGAAAAGTTTGATGAAATTGCTCCATTCACAGTGAATATTGACCCGAGCATCCAGTTAAATGATGAAGATTTTCCATGGCTACGGTGCAAAGGGACACACGCGAAGAAAAAGTTTTCACACCCAAAGATCCGGGATGTGATCGGCTTCACTATCATCACTTTCTTCTGTGTTTCACACTCAGGAGAGAATCTCTGTAATAGTTAGGGTAGTTATGTATTTTGGCATTTGAAACGCGAAGAAATTTTATGTGCAAACAAATTCTTTCATGCATTTACTAATTTTTTCAGCTAAATGACCCTGAAATTGAAAAGCATTTTAAATGAACTCAGAAAAGGTTGAAAGTTGGCATGGTATCATAATTTCACCCACATAGCATGTGCAAAAAAGTAGAGAGGGTTACGGCAAAAACTGGATGCGCTTCGTGTATAAAATGGACAATCTCTTTCGAAGTATCAGGGTTTCGGACGAAAACTCATCTGTTACAAAAGCATTTCATTTTTTAAATAACCTAAACATTACCAAATTGAATATAATGATAAAACACAATAATATTAAACATAAGAAAAAAATCACTGATTTTTTTTCAAAGTTAAGTTATTCACAAACTAGTGATTCACACAAATTTCAAATAATTCAAAATTTAAACTATTCAAATTTGAAAACTACCGGCACTAACAGAAAGTTTGTAATTTTTTGTACCTAAAGCAAAAATATTCAGAAAGAAACTCTAAATACAACAAAAAACAACTCAAAAATAAATAAAACAAAAATAAATAAAGCAAAAAAATTAAGAAAATAAAAAAGCCCGCCTACTGGGCCAAAACGGCCTGCATACGACTAGAAACACAACCTTTTGTTGTGCCAGGATGCAGGCCCGCAAAGGTCCAGTAGGCCCACAGGACAGCACCGAACAGGTAGGCCCGGTAGGCCTGCTTAGGAGAGGAGCTCGAGAGAGCTACCACTGGGGCTTATAAACAAGTGCGGTAGCCCCTCGACTAGCGAGGTGGGACTAAACTTGCCGCACCGCACTACGCCAGCGCACCCCCTTTAGTATCGGGTGGTGGCTGCAACCGGTACTAAAGAGGGTGTCTTTAGTACCGGTTGGTGCTACGACCCGGTACTAAAGGTGGGCACTTCCCGCCGCTTGGCCTGGCGAAAACAGACCTTTAATACTGGTTGGTGGCTCCAACCGATACTAAAGGTCCATCCTATATATACAACACTTGCAAAAAATTCAGTTTTCCTCTCTGTTTCTTCTCTCCGTCAACGACACGCGCCGTCACCGCCCCGGCCGTCCCCGCCCCTCGTTGCCGCCCCGGCCGTCCCCGTCCCCGTCGCCGCGCCCCGCCCCGTCGCCGCGCCCCGCCCGGTTTAACACCAAGAATTCTTGGATTGAACCTAAGAATCAGTCTTCAACTTGAAATCATTGAATCCTCTGTTTTCAGCTAGCCAGGAGCACATCAAATTTCAAAAGAAAAGAGAGCACATAAATTCGCTGTCAGATTGTCAGTACCTTAGCAAGCTGGATCATTCCTGCCATATCCTAACAAATAATGTCCATGAGACGGACGTGAGGATACAACTGAGCACTAACAACGAGCATTTATTGTGTGAGTTAACTAGCTGCCAAGATACAAAAAAGCCACCGTAGTATTCAGCAGGATTGAAATCATCCATCTGTCTCTTGTTACATGATTGCGTGGTTTACAATCAGACCAGAAAAGTTTGTTTACAACCCATACAATATATCGTGTCGCAATACATTAAATACCTTTTACAGGTAGCTAATAATGGCACCAGAAACTAGTACATATAGTAGTACACACCAAACATACATCTCTTGGGCAGCTCAACTGCAGATGAAGCAGGCCACTCACGCTGCATCTTTGCGGGTCTTCTTCATCAGGCGAGCCCGAGTTATAGCCACCCATACATAAACCTCGTCATACAACTTGTCAACAAACTGGAAGTAGGAAATCGCCCAGGTTCTCCTCAGTAACATGGTGCAAAACACCGTCCAAAGGCCGACCACAAACCCTATGCTCATCCCAAGGTAGAGATACGCGATATGATCTGCAACTTCATGGACGACACTTTGCTCTGTGTCAGTAGTACCGGTAGAGCAGTTATTGGAGAGAGGGTGACCGCAGAGACCGGGGTTGCCGATGTAGATATCAATCTGGTTGCCGAGAGTTTGCAGCTGCGGCCCCGATGGTATCGGGCCTGACAAGTTGTTGTATGACAAGTTCAAGGAGCTCAGATAGGTTAGAGCCGACAAACCCGATGGGATTTCACCAGAAAAACTGTTGTAGGATAGGTCGAGGGACTGCAACTGCTTCAGATGATCTATCTTGCTTGGGATTTTGCCGGTGAAATGATTACTTGATAAATTCAAACTGGTGAGCCCAATGAGCAAACTTATCTCCTCTGGAATCTGTCCTGTTAAACTGTTACATGACAGATCAAGATTCACAACTTGGCTGAAGACGCCCAGAGTATAATCACGTGTTTGGCCTTTTGTGATTACTGGCATGCTATCCGCATAAACATAGTCAATCACATCCTTATATTTGACTCTCATTGCTTTCAAGTTTGATAGCAACCATGGTATGCATCCTGATATATTGTTATGGGCCATGTCCAAGTAATAAAGGTTTTCAAGGCAAGTAAGGTTCTTGGGAATATGACCACTGAACATGTTTGATCTCACCGTCAAAATTTCCAATCGTGGCATTTTTTCTGGTAACCACTTTGGCAATATTCCAGAGAACTTATTGTATGAGAGATCAAGGAACATCAATTGTGAGGCACTCTAAAGAAATTTAGGGAATTCACCTGAGAGACCATTGTTGCTCAAGCGTAGACTATACATCCGAGAACCAAACTGATCAGCAGAGTTTGCTCTGGACACTGAAGAACTGTTATCTGACTCCTTCCAACACTGCACAACATCTCCTGTTAATTTGTTTCTTGACAAGTCCAACCGTGCTAGACTAGTCAATTGGCACATAGATGATGGAATGGTGCCTGTAATTTTATTATCTGCCAATGACAACATAAAAATTTGTGGTGCTTTTAGCTCTGCTGGCAATGACCCTGAGAAAGAGTTCGAAGAGAGATCCAAGCTTGTTATATTTAGAGGGAATAGCCGTGGAACTAGACCTGTAAGATTGTTTGACCCCAGATCAATACTGTTGGCTGACATGTGCTGTAGATTTGACGGTAATGAACCACGCAACATGTTTTCTGATGCATCCAAAGCTGAAGCTTGGGAAAATGTCACCCAAAACCAATCAGGAATAACATCATCCAAACTTGTATTTCCAAGAAGAAGATAATCAACGCGAGTTTGCCATCTAAGCCACTCTGGAAAACGGGGGCCTACTGTGCATGACTCTAAATTTATGTGCTTTAGTCTAAATGGAGGAACCCAACTTGGTTCAATATCCATTTTCAAGGAGTTGTCCGACAAGTCCAGGTACTCTAAATTCAATAAGCCTGAAAAATGTTCCTTCACGAGCACACCGTCGAGTTTATTATTGCCAAGACTCAACAATGTCAAGTTACCAAGTGCTCCAACTTCTAGCGGCAGGTTTCCGGTCATAGTCGTATTCCTCATTGACAACTTCTGTAATGTACTCCATGAGCACCATGGCAACCGATCCATGAACTCCCCAATACTCACATCAATGTTGTTATCATCAAAATTCAGCACTTTCAAACTGCACAAGTTTTCTAAGTTGCTCGGTATCAAACCCACAAGATCATTTGCACTAAAATCAATTACTTCAAGGGATGTCATGTTTGCCAATTGTTCAGGAATAGGTCCATGCCACTCACAATGGGAGAGGTGAAGCTCCTTCAGGCTTGTGAGATCCCAGAAGAACCAGTTATGCTCTAGTGTTGCGTCAAATGAGTTGGATGATAGATCAAGGACTTGGAGATGTGTGAGATTTGATTTTGAAGTAGCAGACACTGTGCGGGTAAGGCCGCAATTTGCTAAACGAAGCACTCTTAGAGAAGAAAGCATGTTAACCATGTGAAACCAATCCCGCACAGCAAGGAGGTCCACTCCGCTCATGTCAACATAACTCAACAGTGATAGACGTGACAACCATGCAAGATCTACTGCGTGCAGATCATTGTAACCCCCACTAACATCAAGATATTTCAAATTTGAGAGATTACTGAGTTGGGAAGATATTCTCCCACTGAAACCTGACGACGAGAGATTGAGATACCTTAGCTTCTGCAGAGAGCCCATGAACGCAGGAATGCTTGTGTGGTTGAATTCATTGTAACTCATGTCAAGATACCTCAACTGTTGCAAAGCAGCCAAAGAAGAGCTCATCTCATTTCTCAACAAGCTCAGGCTGTTGGACTTGTACAAACCTTGGAAGGAACTTACTACGTAGTTGTTGCAGAGGTCGAGCTTTACGACATGGCCCGTTCTGCTGCTGCACCGGACTCCCGCCCACTGACAGCAATCTTCACCCTGCCATGACGAGAGACGGCCAGCAGGGTCTAGAAGGCCCGCCTTGAAGGACAGAAGCGCATCCCGCTCCCTGCTGATGCAGGTTCCAGCCCCACCTGATACCCTTGCCTGAGCACCGGAATCAGACGGCTCTGCAAAGAAAATCAACAGGCAAAGTATTGATGCAGCTCCTTGGGCTAGATGCCCAAGCTTAGCAGCCATATTGGTTGGAAGAGGGAGAACAGCTACCGGAAGGGAACGGCAATGGAATGATCACAGAGACTAGCAGATCCCACTCCAGGAACACAGTATACGGTCTATGATAATGCTATTCCAAGTCTTGGTCTTGGCATGCACAGCTTGACTTTTCTTATTCAGAAGTAGTGGCTGGAGGAATTTCTTATTATTAGCTCAAAAGTTAGGCACCAACCAATGATTAACATGGGACCAGGGCATCGCCATTTATATCAAAGGCTAACACAATGGACAGATCAGACTTGAGCCTCCCTTGTTTCCTTTTGTGTTCCTGAGATCAGGAATGGAGTAATTTCCAGACAGTGGGTTAACTACTTTTTAGTGAGCTATCTGACCAGAAATCCACAGGAAAAAAGTATGTTACGCACAAGAGAGAAGGAACCACACAAAAAATCGTGTAATATTCCAATTCAGAATTTCCTGGGTTGCCTCTAACTTCGCTGAAAAAGGTTGTCTCTAGCTAACAGGTCTCAATCAACAGGGTCAAACATGGCAGCACGCAGCAGAAGTAGCATCCTAATTCGATTTGGCTGTGTCACTCACTACAAGGCCGTGTCATCACTCATCACACCGTCATGCAATTCACTCGGCAGTAGTAACATGGATCACCGTTTCTATCAAAGACTCATTCAACGAACATATCGGCTTGAGCCTTCCCTTGCTCCTTTTTGTATCCCTGAGATCACAAGTGGATGAGTAATTTCCACACAGTTAGTTCATGATTTTTTTTTCCTAAGCAATGTGATGGGAAATCCACGCTCAACAGGATGAAATATATATATGCTAGTGGTGGTAACAGTGCCATCCCGATTCGATTAGGCTGTCAGTACCGCGTCGCATCATCACTCGGCGATTATCTAAAACAAAAGAAACACAATCACTCCACAATTCAGCTCTCTGAATCTACAGCGTCATAATGCCTAACTGTCAACTGACTAACTGCAAGGTTAACAGCCAGCCACTAACCGATTTTTCAGTAGCATTTAATTACCAGGTCAATACCTCGCACAAACACACACCAGTTCTTCAGAGTCTGAACCCAACTACCCATGTATCGAACAAACTTTTCTGAAACTTTTGAGCTGATGTGCGACCTTGCATTAAATCTCAATCAACAGGGTGAAACATGCTAGTGACTGTAATAAAATCATACTAATTCGATTTGGCTGTCACTCCGTCGCATCATCACTCTGAAATTATGTAAAATGGAAGAAGCCCCATCGCTCCACAACTCAGCACTCTGAATCAACCGCATCATGACTTCATGAGCACTCCTAACTAAAAACTAACTGCAAGGTTGACAGCCAGAAATTTACCAAGTTTCAGTGGAAACACCAGTTCTTCTTCAGAATATGAACCCGAGTTACCACGCGCGGCATCACATCCCACCTGATTCCGGCGGCCTGCTTCCGGCAACCGCCGTCGCAGGCGCCACCGCCGGACAAGAGCAGCCGGACTAGGACTCTCCAACAGCAGGCGCGGATGGGGGTGGCGAGCTGAGAGTCCTCGCCGGAGTGGCGCATCCGGAGGAAGGGCGAGCATGGCTTGCTTGCGGCGGCGACGGCGGAAGGCGGAGGCACAAGCTACATCGGCATCGCCCAGTCCAGGCCCACCACTGGGCTCTGGCTGTTGGGTCCAACACAACCCTATTTGTTTTCAATTCTTTTTAAGAACACACATTGTTTTCCCCTCAAAAAATTTAAGAACACATTTGTTTTCAATAAATGAAGCTATAGATTTTTGAAAAGTCAACTTTAAAAACTTTGACCAAGTATGTAGACAAAAGTATTTAGACTTAGAATATCAAATACATACCATTAGATACAACATGAGATATATTTTCATATTGTATGTGTTGTTTGATGTTATAGACATAAATAGTTTTCTTTTATAATTTTTTAAAGTTGGACTTTTAAAATTCTATAGAAACTGCATTGTGGAATGAAGGGAGTATTAGATTAACTCCGAGTTTGCATCAAAATAGTGCAACTTTGCAAGAGTTTAATCTTTGATGTCCGAGAATGGAAGCGGCCAAAAAGGCACAAAAAGACACAAAAAGTCTTAGGCAAAGAGGTTGAAAATGTATTGATTCAGTGGAAGAGGACGCAGTTCCGCCCTAAAAAGGAGGTGGTGGGGTTTATAGATCCATATAATTTTCAAGTAGAGAAACATGATGAGCTTCTTTTGAACTAGTATCATCAAGGCTTTGTTGGTGTTGCTCCCTTGCTCAAAGTTCATGTGAATTTCTAGAATAACAATAAGTTCGATGGCTCGTCTGGAGGCTATCCCAAAAACTTCAAACGTAAATAGGTAGCATATTTTTATTATTTTGGTGTTCTTTGTATTGACATGACAAGATGAATAGATCAAAAGTTTTCTCGCAAAAAACTCTATACAATTCTTATTTCTTTGTTAAAAAAATCATTGGGTATTTCACATAATGCTCGGGGTGTATTTAAAAATAGTGCATCATGTATTATTAAAAATTGCATCATGTTTTAAATATCACTGAGATTGAAAAACGATGTATTTTTAAAAATCATTTCCTCAAGTATTTAGAAAATTATGTTACTATGCATTTTTAAATGCTCACAGTGTATTAAAAATATCATTTTTTCGTGGTCAAAAAATGTTCATTGCGTTAAAACAATACATCACGTATAAAATTTTTACATCAAGTATTTCATAAATGTTCACCATGTATTTATTCATCGTGTAATAAAACATGTTATCATGTATTTTATAACATTCACCGTGTATTTTAAAAATGTTCACAGTTTATTATAAAATACCTATGTATGTAAAAGCAAATGTTCATCTCGTGTTTGAAAAATATACTGTGAGTGTATAAAAATGTTGATCATGTATTTGAAAAGTGAGATCATCGTGTATTACAAAAAATGATTATTTTGCTTTAAAAGTAGTTCGCCGCATATTTTTCAATAAAGTTTGTTGCGTACATGAAAACACTTCGCCATTACGAACTGTTAGCTCAAATTTTGCAAATCACGCAATGCTTTCCAAATTCTCTTTCCAAGTTGGTCAATGCTGTACGTACGCACGCACGTATACGTACATGCATGTCTGATGTCTCGATCGGAATCAACTTGCATGGAAGGTGCACTGCAGGCATGCACGTGCCACGAAATCGACTTGGGCACGTACGTGAACCCTACTCGTTCACGGCCTCGACCGATCGATCGGTCCGGTCCCGCGTCGAAGCACAAGAACTGTTATGCGGCTTGTTTGAAGAAGACCAACCATATCCATATGAGGAAGAGGGAAAAGAAGAACAAGGTGAGGTTGAAGAAACACATGAGCTAGTTGTCGAGGGTCAGCCCGAAGATGAGGTGTTGTCTTTAATGGTGTTCTCGTCACGGACTAACAAGTGGGAGAGCCGAGAGTTTGTGCCCGGAAGCTGTTGCACTTCTCAGCGCCTCTACGACATGCTGCCAGCATATGAAAACTACAACCAAATATGGAAGTCGGCTGTGTATTGGCGAGGGTCTCTCTATGTGCATTGCGGCAATAACATTCTTATGATCCTAAGAAACTCATGGGTAACCTATGATATGGTCGAGGTGCCGGGAATACCATGTGACGAGGAAGAGCATAGAGGCATCCTTCCAACTAGGTCGGTCTTAGCGAGCTATGAGAAAGGGACCTACTATGTGGCGCTCGACATTTTCCAACTCCAGGTCTGGAAACTGACAGAACCTGTTGATGGGCAGTTAGGGTGGACGTTGACACACGAGGCCAACCTTAGTCCTTTTGGTCACCAAATAAAGCTCTCATCACATGTTATAAAACCAATGACGCAATGGGAGTTGGTCGAAAGCAGTGAAGCAAAAGTCAGCCTCTTTGAACCCCTGAGTGGCCGGAGCAAAGAGGAAGAGGAAGATGAAGAAGAGCAAGCCAAAAGTGGGTCCGACTACATGTGGGACTCGGATGAGGAAAACTTCATTGACCTGGACGAAGTTGTTGCTGACCGACTTGAGCCGTTGGACTACTGGTGGTACTGCAGGATCATCGGAATGCATCCGCACAAGGACGTGCTCCTCCTCCACATGAACGGCAGGGCGATGGCGTACCATCTCAACACCTCGAGAATGCAACACCTGGGCAAGGGGCTCGTCAAGGAAGTCGGCCGGCGGAACGGAGTCGAGCGCGCATTCCCTTACCGCCCGTGCTACATGGACGCGCTACCGTTGGAGAAGATGTCGCGGTGAATGCTTTTGCGTAGAGCTATTGCTTCCTTTGTATAAGAGATAGCACACGCTTTACCGATTTTCCATGTAATGCTAGGACAAAAACCTCCTGGTCACATGAGCTGGCTTGTCACCGGCGACTTCAACCAAGTCTATCGCGCTAGAGATAAGAACCGTACCAACGTCGATCGCAGCTGTATCATCTGCTTCCGCAACACCCTCGATGATTGTGAGCTCAAGGAGATACACTCGTAAAATAGGAAATTCACATGGAGCAATGAACTAGTCAACCCGACCATCAACAAACTTGATAGCTTCTTTTCCACTGAGGATTGGGACATCCAATTCGGACCCCACCTTCTCCACGCGTTGTCGTCTTCATTGTCACCGATGTTTATCACAAAAAGGAAACAGAGTGCTGCGACGTTAAATGTTTTGTGTTTTCTTAGAGGACACTCCAGCATGGTATACTTCCGTCTTATGCTCTTTGTATTTGTTGATATTTTTTTGAAGCACCAACCGTAGAACAATAATTCTAGGGTAATTTTTCATTAAACAAAGTAATATGTACGAGCTACAAACTAACTATCAGACTAGTAGCATACAATCAGCCAATGCCTTTTTTGTGAAACATGAGAATATCAAGGAAAGAGGCTAGAGTCTTCTGCAATCATTATAAATGTGCAGAAATCCAATTTAACAATTTAATTTTTTTTTGCTTGTTTGTTGTCTGAACTTTGTAAGTTTGGCGTTTTTATT